GGCCTCCTCCGCCGCCCGCCGCGCGGCCGCCGCGGCGGCGGCCTGCGCTGCGGCCGCCGCGCGCTCCTGTGCCTCCCAAGCCACCGCGGCGCCGACCAGGCCAGAGATGTCCAGCTGCAGCTGGCGCGCGCGGTCAGGGCGGCGCCCCGAGCCCCTGGCGCGCCATGGCCGCGCGACCGGCTGCACCTGCAGCAAGACAGGCTCTGCCGGGGGCTCGGGTACCGGCGCCTGCGCAGCTGCAGCTGGTGCCTGCGCCGCAGCAGCTGGCGCCTCCGCGACAATCGGCGAAGGCGGCACGGGTGATGCCGGCGGGGGTTCCAGGGGGGCCGCGGCAGCCGCCGAGCGCGTCGGCGCCGGCGAGCGCACGGTGAGCACCTGCCCCTGTGACTGCTGCTGCTGCTGCTGCTGCTGCACCGAAACCGCGCGCTTCGGCGGTGCGCCGCCCATGCGCTTGCCGGCTGCGAGGGTCGGTGGGTTGCCTGCGGATGCAGAGAGTGTCAAGTCCATATAGGCTGCTTGGCCGTCCAGCGCGCACAGGGGCAAGCACTCGGCATGTGGCCCGGCAGAGTGTTGAGCGGAAGTGCTCGCACCTTTGCGCGGCGTCAGGCTGAACACGTCTGTCAGCGCCGCTCGCAGCGCCTCGACATCCCTGGGGTAGTAAGTGCGATTGAGAACCTGCTGTGCACTTGCGTTTGGGGCATCAGCGCTGCAGCGGCGATCTCACCTGTCGCCAACACACGCCCGAATTGCTGCGACTCGACCACTGCCCTGGCGCAGCGTCAGGCCATCTCTTCGGCTTTTGCTTACAGCTGGGCCATTCATTGCGGCGAGCTGGCCGCGCTGTGGCGGGCAGCTGTCGCCAAGTAAGTTTGGTTCAAGCCGTGCTCAGTCTCATAATGGTAGGTGTATGATCCGTATTGTTTCGTTGTATAGACTTATGAAGTGAATGTGAGGTCGGGATGGGGCGCCGCGAATTCCTGCGCTGCTGCATGCACGGGCGCAGAGTACGTCAGCAGCCGTGGAGCGTGTTGGCTTGCTGCTTGGAGAGCAGACGGCGAGCGGAGTGCACTCCTTAATACTGGATCATGGCCAGTGGGTAGCTCTGCCCCCGCAAACGCTGGCCAGCGACGCCTTATGCACCTGTTGCTTGGCACAGCACTCCTGAGTGCGGTCAGGTGCACCTGCAGACCGCCTCCTGACCGGCACGAAAGGCGCAGTCTCGACGACGCGCCAGCGCAGCCAACGCAAGTAATTCGTAGCTGCTGCAAGACAAGGGCCTCCCGTTGCACAGCGCTGACAAACAAGGCCGCACTGCTGCCCAGGCCAGCCATCCGCGCAGCGGGGGGCGGGCGCAGTAGGATCAAACAGTGAGCTCCAGATGAGCCGCCACGCAGTGCTTGTAACAGGCGCGCATGCATGCACGCATATGGCGAATACAGTCGGCCAATAACATTTCAATCTGTGGCTGCATGATTTTTTTTGGCGACAGAACAAGGAATTCCAAGAGAGCCGCGTTGTGGGTGCCAGGCGCAGCCTTGATGCAATGCTGTCTGTGCTGCCAGGGTCGGTGCAGTCAAGGGGTCCGCCGTTGGCGTTAGGCAGGGCCCGCCGCCCGGCGCCACGCGTGCTCGCATGTGCACGTGCTTGCCTATAGTGCTGCAGGCGTGCCCCGCCTAGCCGAGGGGCTGCTTTCAAAGCGCTGAGTTGCGGCTCTGATGTTGCGGGGGAGCCTGAATCGTCGGCAGGCAACACGATCAAACCGGGCACGGAAGCTGGCTGGTCAGGCGGCAGCAACAGGGTCGGCGGCTCGATGTGATGAGGCAACGCAGCCGCAGCTCCGCGCCAGCCAGCGCCGATGGAATGTGAGACTCGAGGATGATCACAGAGCATGCAGGACGGCCCCGCGCGCGCAGGCGCGCTTTGCACGCGCGAGCCGCCCTCTGTTGACACCCTCTGCTGGGAAAGGGGGCAGAGACTGGGCAAAACTGGCAGGGGCCGCAGCGGTGCGGCGGAACTCGCCACATGCGTGCGCACCCCCAATTGTGGCCAGGGCATTCAATGCTCCTCAGCAACGCACGCACAATACAGGGTGCAAGGTGTGGTGGCGCCCAGCAGGCGAGGCATGCCAGGGTACATGACAGGAGGAATGGCGGATGAGGGAGCTGCGAGGAAGCTGCGAGGAATAAGGAGGCCGCAGCCTCTGGAAACAGGCGTGATGTGCGATGACGCGCATGTGCAAAGAAGAGCTCGCCCGCTGCGCAGCGCCGCTGCCCGACGAATGCAGTGCACTGGACCGGGTGCGACGTGGCGCCGCCGCGCGAATCGGGGGCGTTTTCATGAAATCGTATCTCGCCTAAACTGCGAGTGCGGCAACAAATCCGTACCGCGACCGCACCTGCCCCGACTGTCGCCTCCAGCCCTCAAGAGGCCCAATGGGCGTCCCTGTCGGCAGGAGGCAAGACAGGGACGCCCCACACGGCGACGCGCGCATCTAACCTTTCTGACCCAGCTGGCGCGGGTTCTGCTGCTGCTGCTGCTGCTGCTGCTGCTGCTGCTGCTGCTGCTGGAGTCGCGGCCACACAATCACTCTGCAGCGGCGCCGCCCGGCGCCGGCGCGGCGGCGGCGGCGGCCGCGGCAAGCTTCTGCCGCCCCTGCTGCTCTATCGCGCGCTCCGCGGCCAAAAAGAGGAGCCCGCTTACGACGTAGCACGCGGGCGCCAGCAGCATGGCGCGCTGCAGGCCGACAACCTCGGCCAGCTTGGCGACCGCCACCGGCCCCGCGCCGCCGACGAGGTTGCTGCGGCGGTGTCCGAGGTTGATGGGCACGAGGGGCGCGTTTGAGGGGGGTGCGCGCGCGCACGCGCGCATGTGTGTGTGTGTGTGTGTGTGTGTGCGCACGCACGTGTGTGTGCATATGTGTGTGTGGGAGGGTTTGGATGCATGTGCAATGGGCGGGCGGGGCCGGGAAAGCGGGGCGTGGCGCAAGGGCGGGCAACGCACCGTATGCAGAGGTAGAGGGCGCTGGCTGTCGAGCCCAGCTCCTGGGGGGCGATGCTGCGGATCATGATGGCGCTGGGGGCACGCCACGCCTCACTCATGGCGAAGCCAACCTGTGTGTGTGAGTGCGCACGCGCGCGTGCGCGCGCGCGCGCGTGCGTGTCGGTGAGACAGAAAGCGAGAGAAGAAGTTTGTGTGTACACATGCATGCATGCGTGTGTGGGTGTGGGTGTGGGTGTGTGCGCTTTGTGTCCATGCGCATGTGTGTGTGCGTGTGTGAGTGTGAGGGCAAAGGCCCAGTGCGCGCTAGCGTCCGAAGACAGGGCGGGGAGGCACAGGCAAGACGCGCACACTAAGAGAGTGCAGCTAGCGGCAGCTCGGCGCATGGAGGGCCAGCTGCAAGACCGGCCATGCATGGGGAGAGGGACGGCCGCAACGGGACCAACGGAGGTGGGGGCTGTCAGGGCATGCGGCGCGGCGCCGCACCAGCAGGGCCAGGAACGAGTCAGTGGTGGAGTCTGCCAGCAGGGACTGCGCTATGAAGGGCGCCGCCAGGATGGACGCGCCTGGACCGGGGGCACAGGGGAGCGGTGTGAGGCGGGGAGGGGGCCAGTGAGGGGTCTGCGTTGGCGCAGGACCCGCCAACACAGCCGCGGCAAGGCCGCACGCCTCCCGCGGGCGCCGGCAGCCCGGCAGGCAGGGACACCAAACCAAGCCCGTCCGCGAGCCGGAAAGAGACGCGTCTAAGCAACCGGTACTTGCACGCCAAGAGGGCCGCATGCTTCACCCCAACCACCCTCTGAACCCCAAAACCGCTCACAGCCTCCCACCTGACGTGAGCCAGAAGCGGCCCCCGACTTGCGACAGCACGTCAGCTATCAGCCCGCCCCCCACGCCGCCCACGATGCCGCCGACGGGCAGGATGACCGCGAGGATGGGGGCATACACACTGCTGTCAAGGCCAAACACGCGCTCGTAGAACGTAGAGTGCCACGCGATGAGCGCGTAGCTGCCCAGGTCGTTGAGCGCCGCCGCGAGGGTGGTGGTGCGGAAGGCAGGGTTGGCCAGCAGCTCCCGCACGGGCGCGAGCGCGGCGCCGCCGAAGCCTTCGGGGGCGGACAGCGCGGGCGGCGGTGCGGCAGCGGCGGCTGCGGCGGCGGCGGGGACGAGGGCCGGGGCCCCCGCGGGCGGCGGGGTGATCCCGCTTACGAGACGGCGCCGGAGGGTCGCGAGGGCGCCGCCGGGGTCGCCCGCCGGCGCCGGCTGCCAGTGATCTGCGGAGCGCGCCAGCCGCCGCAGCGCGCCCGCGACGCCGCTGGCCTGCAGCAAGGCCGCCCCCTCGCCGCCGCCGCCGCCGGTCCCGTCGCCGTCCCGCTCGTCCCTCCGCGCTTCCCACAGCGGCTGCTCCCGCCCGCGCTCGAGCTGCTCCTGCTGCGCCTGCGCCCGCTGCTGCCGCTGCTCCTGCTCCCGCTGCTGCTGCCGCTCCCGCTGCTGCTGCTCCAGCTTCTGCTGCTCCCTCGGCTCCTGCACGCTCAGAAACATCATGGCGGCCACCGCCATCCCCGGGACCCCGAGCCAATACAGCAGCGACCGCCAGCCGTCGCCAAAGCCGCCGCTGTTGGCGGTCTCGTAAGCGATGACGTGGAAGTTGTAATTGTAGACCGGGGTGACAGCCGCCATGTCGCCTGCAAGTCGAGCGGTCCGAGGTTACGCAGCGGCTCCAGATCATCTTTTTGGAGTGTCGGGTTCAGCGGGAGGCGACCAAGCCGGTGGCGCGTGCACCGAGCTGGGCCGGTGCCGCGGCGCAGCGCACGCGCGGCGTTCTACGCGAGACAAAGAGCGGGGGCGCCCACAGCCGCGGCACCGTCGGCCCCGACACGCCCCACGGCCGCGCGCCGCCCCGCCGGGGGCGGGATGCGGGCGGGCGGGGCTGGCCCATGCATGTCACCTGTGGTGTAAATTATGGACATCCTTTGTAGGTCAAGTTTATCCAGGGGCACCATGCTCAGGGCCACCCCAGGGTCTGAAGCGCCCGCCCCCGCGCCCGCCCCCGCGCCCGCCACGCGCCCGGCGACGGCCTTTGCGCCCGCGAGCGCGGCCGCGGCGGGCCCGGCGGCGGCGCCATCGTCAGAGTCGAGGGCGGCGA